ACACATATCTGAATAAATTATATTTGTTGTTATATTAAATGTATTAAAAGTGTTGAATGTTAAATCATGGTTGTGCCATATTTTTGTTTCAATGATCATCACATTTTGCCATCCATTTCTATATGATATACTGTGTAACAGAACTCTACCCTTAAGTTTTAAAATTTATCATGTGTACAATTTAGCCAATAAAATTTAAGAAATTATCATAATAAATCACATCAATATATGAAGAAAGTATTCAAATGCAATTTTTCAAAAATTCCACAAAACCTTTATGAAATTTATATTATTTGATATCTCAGGTTCTTATAATTATGCATATAAATTTAATATTTTTGTATTATCTAGATAGAGCTTTAATTCAAAGATTTGCTGATTGCAGTTTGAATCAACAACAGGCTTCATTAGCTTTTTGTAAGTTTGAAAGAAGTGATTTTATTTTATTTTTTTGTGCAATTTGGCATTTCAAATTTTGAAAATTATATATAAAATATTACAAAATAGTGAAATTTTAAACCCTTATAATTTTTGCTATTAAAATAAAAAATCTGGCTGTAATGAATTATTCCCTGACTTCTAAATAATCATTTGGTGCAATTATTTTTTTAAAATTGATCACCCCTGAGGAGTAGATACCATTTTTGGTAAGCCAATAATAGTTGATGGCTTTTGCTGTCACCACTGTATATTAATATAATTTTTTTTCGATTTGTTACACGAATTTTCTGCACAAATCCTGCTAATAGATTATTGGCTACCTTTAATGTAACATATGCGCCTGCACTCAATTTCACACACCGCCAGTCAGATCCAACACACAAAAGGTACTCTAATTTGCCGATTTCTTTCATTCTTTCAGTAAATATTTTAATTTTATTATTATTTACAACAATCATTTTACATTTTCATCCATTCCAGAAAAAATTTCTGAAATTTTCACAAGAAAATTTTGTGTGCTGGTCAGATCTTCAAGCATTTACATATCTATTATATAAACACAGTGGTGTTTCACAAGGAGATAAACTGGCATTTCGATTGGTTAAGAACTGGAGATAAAGAAGCATTTTCATTGGTAGAATATTTCATTAAATTATTCAATAATGATAAATTAATTATAGTATTTGTACTCATTTTACTCATGAGTACAAACACTATCTCTTTAATATGAGAATCCAATCAATCCAATGTAAAAGTTATTAGATTAATTGTTAGATTAATTAATTATAAAATTTTAATCTAAATTATTATTATGTTGAAAATTAATTAAATTAATAAAATTAAAATTATATTAATTCAAAATTCACATTAAAATAAATGCACATCTAAAATTGTCTGAATTTATGTAGTAAAATAAAAATTGTTTCGAATTTATATTTGTAAAATAAAGTTAATTGACATGTGTACTATTATTGAATATAAATTACTGGACGTGTATAACCAAAATCTTGAATTGATTACTTTAATACAAATTAAAAATTACTTAAATGACATGTATTATTATTGAGACACTAAAAAATAATCATATAGTGTATTCATAGTTGCCATGTAAAACCCAAGTTAAAAATTTATTGTACAAATCTATAATTGTAATAATAAATAATAAATTAATACTAACTAAATACAAGCAAAAAAACTTACTGTGCAAAACCTATAGTTGTAACAATAATAAAATTAATTTATTAGTTAATTCCACAAATATAATAACATTAATATCTAATATTTACTTAACTTTTTTTTTATAATGCCCTTAGATGAGTTTAATCCCAAATCATAGAAAAATAGCTCAACAACAAAGAAGAGCTAGAGAGAGAGAAGCAAATAAACATGCATTAGAAATACCAAATGTATTTAAAACAAGCTCACAACCAAAAGAAAATAATAATATCTTACCTCCAAATTGCAGGAAAATTGCTCAGAAAAAAAGAAGAGCTCAAGAACAAGAAATATGTGAACTTACTACAGATCCTAGGACATTAATACAATCAAAAAAAAGAGTACGGGAATATGTAAAAACGGCACATCACATCATTATCTTGGTGAAATGAATATAGAATGTATTTTTTGTGGCGCACTTCATTGGCTTGATGAGCATCTTACTTCATCTTCTCAAACTCATCCAAAATTTGGTACATGCTGTTTACAAGGAAAAGTTGTATTACAACTTCTTCAAGATACACCACTTGCTTTACATCAACTTTTTTGAAAATCAAGATAAATATTCTAAAGAATTTCGGCAAAGCATTCGACAATACAATGCAGCCCATGTTTTTACTTCTCTTGGAATAAATCCATTCTTAATGGTCATGGACCATACAGTTTTTGTGTTAATGGAGAATTATGTCACTATATGGGTACTCTTCTTCCTGAATCAAATAATAAAGCTACTTATGCTCAACTATATATTTATGACCCCGATATGGCACATCATCTAAGAATAGAAAATAATAAAAGTTTAAATGCTGATATCATGCAGAAAATACAAGAAATTTTACATGAAAATCATATCTTTTACCCTTTATATATGCAAGCATTATTTAAAAAAATATAATTGGTATCACCACCCTGTCATGTTACCATTTGCGAAGCAAATGGGAACACACTAGTTTATAATACAGTCAGGATTTTTTCCAAATTTGGAATTACCAAATATTGCAATGATCAACATCCTAAATGGTAAATTTGCACTATGTAAAAATTTGATTGGCTGAAATTCCGCCTTTTTCTCCTTTTCTTTTCTCAAAAACTCACAT